TGAAATGCTCCAAACATATAATGCAGTGATTGAGAGCTGAAGAAATAAAGGCTCCTCAGAAGATGTGAGATGTTCTGGAGGCTTGTGAAGATCATTCCTCCGCTGAGGAACAGTGAAAGTAAAGCTTCTGGAAACAAACGCTCCTCAAAAGATCCTGAGGATCAGATTTGAGACTCTAAAACATGATTGATGGAGAACCAAGTAAAGCTGAGCTGCTTCAGTCCAGTAAGTGTTCATCTGGAGATATTACTGCAGTTATTCTGACGATTACTTGATCAAAACCAGTCAAGATCTGACTACAGTTACACTATAAGAGCTTTTACTGGATACAAACTCTAAACTATCAATCAGAGACAGAAGACATGAGGAGATTGTGTTTTTGATCATTTAGAGGCCTTTGTGTATCAAATATGATACAGTACAGTAGCCTGGCTTCACAGACAGGGCTTAGATTAAGCCAGCATTAGTTCAATTAGGACATTTTAGTCATTTTTATAAACATGCCTTAGAAAAAAACATTACTGGTGTGCATCTTGAGACACTGACATATTTTAAGACCAATCAGGGCAAGTTTCTTTTATTTGAAACAGCTCAGATTTACATTCTCGTCCAAGCCTTAGCAGGCTTTATCGAGTTCACTCTACAATTACATCAGATGCATCAGAAATGTAGCTCAGCCTAAGACTAAAGAACATTACAAACACTGCAAGCAGATGAAATCACCTGACTTATTCAGCATTTCTGCACTGATTTTACATCTGATCGTATTGCAGAAATAATTATAATGGATTGCGAATGACATTCATATTGATTTTAAGAGTAAAACATCAGACCTACAGCATAATAATAATAGTATATTTTTATTTATTTATTTTAATATTAATAATAATAATAACACTAATAATCAGTATATTAAATTATTTAATTATAAAATATTATTTATAATCAAATTATTATAAATTTTGTAAAATTATGTATTATTAGTAGTAGTATACATTTTATAATTTTATATATTTATTTAAAATCTTGCTGCATTTTGTCATATTATGAAATAAAATGAATTGCGAAAGACCCTTCATGTGGACTTCATCAGACCCACAGCATATATATATATAGTATGTATTTATTTATTAGAATTATTATTAAATAATATTTTAATTACAACGTTAATTATGTAATATTATTTATAATTAATTATTAATAATGTTAATATTATTATTAATAATAATAATATACGTTTCAGATCTTTTTTTAAATATCTTTGAAAATTTGGTCATATTGCATTTGGTCATATTACGAAATAAAATGCATTTTGAATGGCATTTTTGTTGACATCAAGAGAAAAACATCAGATCCTCAGCATTCCTCTCAATCCCAAGTGCTCTAAAATGAGCTTCTGACCCGAGAGAGACATCAGCAGTAGTAAACTCTTCTTCTTTCATGCATGTGAATGGGTGGAGTGGTTTAAATATGCTGTCAAACAAATGCTGGACTTTGTTTTGGATGGATTTTTTTTATCTCTATTACCTCTCACTGTCCATTCACATCAAAACAAGCCAAAAAGAACACGTCAACACACACAAAACTCACTCTAGTTGAACATTTCTG